ATTTAATCTTATATTATTTTTTATCGTAATGTCTATATCGTAAATGTGCATGATTTCTTGCCGACATGTTGGAGAAATAAATTCGAAAATAAACATCATTTTCTAACATTTTTGATAGATCATATAAATATTAACCATTTTGTCTCTAATAATTTTTGTTTGAATTAATAATTTACTTGTCAAAATTCAGAATAACGATCTAATAAAAATAAGTTTTATTGATATTTGCCGCTCTCATAGTAACGTTGAGAATTTAAATGGTAACTTAATATTTTCAAAATAGAGTTGTGCAAAACATTAATCCTGTAAAATGCCATGTCGATTAAAGGAACACACGATATTCCAGTTGTGGCTTCCGTAACAATTAGTGTTGTACGATGCTGAGTTGGTAGTCCTACGTCTAACCAATCTTTTCCTAAATTGGCTGCCAAGGAATCCAGTGGGCCCAAACTGCGCTGCTATTAAGCTCGACCCCAATTTAAAGAAGTGATGTACAGTATGTGTCTGAAATTCAATTAATGTCTCATTTTGTAAAAATGAAACACGATCTTTAGATCACTGCATTTGACGATCATCGTTTTGTTAAATCCAAAACTAACTCTACGTAAAATAAACTAATCTTACATATTTTTTGTTGGTCATACGACGAGGATTTTTGAAAATGGTACTGTCGATGTAATATGCACTGTAATTTGCTTCGTACTCATAACGGAAGCTTAGAAAATGTCCAAAGGTTAAAATGTAAATAATTCTATCAGTTTTGACGGGTATTATGCTAACAGCTTTGTCAGTACAGACTTTTAAAACTCAGTTGAGGTTTTCGATATTGTTCGGGCTTTATTTTAAAAAATGTAATGAAATCCTGGTTATCTAACTTACTTAACAGTTTGTCGGGTTTTAATTTTCCAGATTTTATTGCCAACAAGCTTGACATGTATCTAATAACTTGAAAAGGACTCTATGAATGATTTGTTCTTGCAATTTATAGAGGTTCGTTCAATAAAAATAAAAGAAAAAAAGTTTGTTATGGCTCATGTGATCCACGAGTGGTTCGTTAAATTCGATATTGCTTAAATTGAGGGACATTAAATTGAGGTTTTACTTTATTTTATATATTGCTCTTTTATTTGAGATTATCTTGGCAATTCAATACTTTTTGTGGAGCGGAAATTCCTTGCTGTGAAGCGTATTTTCATTTTTTTTTTTTAAATATTTTCTGGCTTGTTCCTTTAATTATATCCATATATTCTATTATATCAAATTATATTCATCGATTTTTATGGGTCGTGCTTATTAACACCAAGGTGCGAGTGACAACGGTTAACAGCGCGTAAAATGAAATCTACGAGCCAAGTTCATATTCTGTCTGAGAAATTTTTATTCATTTCTTAATAATGGTAAAGGCAAAATATTAATTGCTTTTTCTAGACATAGGTATGGGTAGTGAGTGCCTCTAGAAATTATAGAGCCTAGTGTGTCGTACACTAGGCTCTATAGTTTCGAGACGTAATCAATCGAACTGATAGAAAACTTTAAATACAAGAAATGTTAAGTGTATTATATATTAAAAATAGGTTATTTATTATTGAATATTGTATGGGATACCCAGTTAAGATCAAACACAACTTAGTCATAAAAGTCAACCAGACAAGACTCGTTAACCATTACCACCAAGATGACGTGCCACTTTTTGAAATTAAAACAAAAACAAAAACAAAACAAAAAAAAACAAAACAAAAACAAAACAAAAAAACAAAAAAAAAACAAAAATACATTGATAAATAATGACGCAAATCACTGATTACGGATAAAAGCCACAGAGAACCATGAACGCCTACGTTTGAAAGAGTTAAGGAACTTGGAAGGAGAATTATTATTCATATTCAAAAAGAATTTCTAAGAAATCAAATCCTAACATATACATTATAATTTTCTTTTTAAAAATATTCTATCGGGACACAGAAAGTTACTTAAAGTGAAACTAAATTTGTAAATTTAATTATAAAAATTAAACTTGAAATCCATATTTTCGTTCCATTGTCAAGCGATATTAGGAATAACTTTCTAAGAAATTTACTTAATTCATAAGCGCAGAAAAATGTTTCATTCCAAAAAGTATATAAGGATTACTTCATCGCTATTAATATTTTCAGATCATGGATTTTAATAAATGGGTGCTTATTCCGGCGTCGTTTAAATCTCTTACAAAATAGTAATAAAAACTTGAGTAGGTTCTTGTATTAGTTAAATTTATGCTTGGTAAATAACTGCATATCAAAATGCATTCAACGTGTATATTTTATCAAATAGTCGCATCATATTTCAACCGTTATCTATCCTCCTTATCATCATGCTTACGGTTAAATGATGCTGAAAACATCGATTCTCTTTCAATCACCACTGAAGTTCAGCAGTGTCGATCAGTACATCTATTTGGGGGGAAAGGGAGTACTGGCAACAACGTGTCCTGTAAGCGACCTCCTACAATCCAAAATGTTTCAGCTTTAAAAAATTCGCTCTTCATTGCATCAAAGGCACATCCCGTTGAAATGCAAATCTTTGTTAATTTTTAATCTTTTTTAAACTTTATTTAAGTACTAATCTGCATTTATACCTATGAATTTTTCAACATTTTCTTAGAAGATGGTTCTAAGAAGATGGTGGTAATCGGAACCATTTAACAATGTAATAGAGGATTATCTAGGGGTATTTTATAATCATTGGAAATTGATTGCAGCTTATTTACCTTAAATTACAAATTATGATACATCAGAAAATTAGTAAGGAAACAATAATATTTTCATAGTTATTGCTATGAATGATATTAATCTGAAATAATATTTGGAATTAATTCCAGATATCAAATTTACAACAAGCATGTTACTCGGAATGGCATTTATTCTTTATGACTTCGCTACTGCAATGGGTAAGGTGCTTAGGAAAACAATAGTCATCATAGCACGAATTTCTACTCCACGAACTTAGCTACGTCGAAATGGCAAGAGATTTGGTAAGTAATCATTAGATTCCCACTTGGGGAAACGGTGAGCTTCCATTTGTTTTCAACCAGCTTAGTTCACCTTTGTCGGGAGAACTGGCTGGAACGCGATTTTGTACATGTTTAAAATTCCATGTCAGAAACAAACCAGAGTGACAGGTGAATCTTGGCTTCAAGCCGATCCATGAAACAGCAGGTAACACACACAAATTAATATATATATATATATATATATATATATATATATATATGTGTGTGTGTGTGTGTGTTATTGGGGAAAGGCAGAAAGATTAATGAATTACAGTGCGCGCAGCATATGCATATATGTTGCAGACAGAAGTAAGAATATAAATGATTATGTATATTTTAGTACAATACCCATGAAAATATCGGATTCGTTATGCGTCGTTCGAAACACACCATATATCAACATTACTATACTTCATCGTTAGACTAGTCATTTTACATTTAGTTATAGCTTGCAGTGCGACTATGTTGATATATGGTGTGTTTCGAACGACGCATAACGAAAACGATTTTTATCGTTAGATATAGAGGGCAAACTTGTTACTATACTTTATCGTTAAAGAGAGACTTATAACAGCAAACTTACTATACTTTATCGTTACAGAACGATACAGCAAAGTTACTTTACTTTATCGTAACGATAAAGTATAGTAAGACTCTCAACGATAAAGTATACTAACTTTTCTGTTCTCTCTAACGATAAAGTAAAAGTAACTTTACTTTATCGTTCTAACGATAAAGTATAGTAAATTTACTATATCGTTAACGAGATGGAGACAGCAAACTTACTGTATCGTTAACGATACAAAGTATAGTAACTTTGCTGTACTTTCTCGTTAACGATAAAGTATAGTAACTTTGCTGCTCTAACGATAAAGTATAGTAACTTTATCTCTCTCTAACGTAAAGTATAGTAACTTTGCTGGCTCTCTCTAACGATAAATAGTAACTTTGCTGTCTCTCTCTCTAACGATAAAGTATAGTAACTTTTGTCTCTCTCTCTCTAACGATAAAGTATAGTAACTTTGCTGTCTCTCTCTCTAACGATAAAGTATAGTAACTTTGCTGTCTCTCTCTCTAACGATAAAGTATAGTAACTTTGCTGTCTCTCTCTAACGATAAAAGTATAGTAACTTTGCTGTCTCTCTCTCTAACGATAAAGTATAGTAACTTTGCTGTCTCTCTCTCTAACGATAAAGTATAGTAACTTTGCTGTCTCTCTCTCTAACGATAAAGTATAGTAACTTTGCTGTCTCTCTCTCTAACGATAAAGTATAGTAACTTTGCTGTCTCTCTCTCTAACGATAAAGTATAGTAACTTTGCTGTCTCTCTCTCTAACGATAAAGTATAGTAACTTTGCTGTCTCTCTCTCTAACGATAAAGTATAGTAACTTTGCTGTCTCTCTCTCTCTAACGATAAAGTATAGTAACATCGATGTCTCTCTCTAACGATAAAGTATAGTAACATCGATGTCTCTCTCTAACGATAAAGTATAGTAACATCGATGTCTCTCTCTAACGATAAAGTATAGTAACATCGATGTCTCTCTCTAACGATAAAGTATAGTAACATCGATGTCTCTCTGTAACGATAAAGTATAGTAACATCGATGTCTCTCTCTAACGATAAAGTATAGTAACATCGATGTCTCTCTCAAACGATAAAGTATAGTAACATCGATGTCTCTCTCAAACGATAAAGTATAGTAACATCGATGTCTCTCTCAAACGATAAAGTATAGTAACTTTGATGTCTCTCTAACGATAAAGTATAGTAACATTGATGTCTCTCTCTAACCATAAAGCATAGTAACATTGATGTCTCTCTCTATAAAGCATAGTAACATTGATGTCTCTCTCTAACCATAAAGCATAGTAACATTGATGTCTCTCTCTAACCATAAAGTATAGTAACTTTGCTGTCTCTCTAACGATAAAGTATAGTAACTTTGCTGTCTCTCTCTGACGATAAAGTATAGTAACATTGCTGTCTCTCTCTCTCTGACGATAAAGTATAGTAACATTGCTGTCTCTCTCTCTCTCTCTCTCTCTCTGACGATAAAGTATAGTAACATTGCTGTCTCTCTCTCTCTCTGACGATAAAGTATAGTAACATTGCTGTCTCTCTCTCTCTGACGATAAAGTATAGTAACATTGCTGTCTCTCTCTCTCTCTCTGACGATAAAGTATAGTAACATTGCTGTCTCTCTCTCTCTCTGACGATAAAGTATAGTAACATTGCTGTCTCTCTCTCTCTGACGATAAAGTATAGTAACATTGCTGTCTCTCTCTCTCTAACGATAAAGTATAGTAACATTGCACTCCGGCACTCCACGTAGCCTCTTGTATCTTAGCGACTTTATCGCCTTTCTTGGCGTGAATTGATTTAAAAAAAAAAAAACATGTTAAGCTATGTGGATATATCTAATACATTGTACGTGCGTCAGTGAGACATCCATCAACCTGACCGACTTCTTAAAATCTGTTGCAACCTAGAAAGTGTTACAGAATGAGGAATAACCAAAAAGGAGTTTGGAAATGAAATGGTAATCTTTATAACATCAACAAAATACAATACTCGCCAGCGGCGTGAAGTAGGTAAACCGCTACTTACACAGCATGTTACCACACTTACAATAATGTCCAACATATTCATGAGGATTGGGAAATACTCATTATTGTTCGTACGTAGGGTATATAACACTATTATTGATAGATATATAATGAACATGCAAAGATAGGAAATGGATATCCTAAGATAGATAGATAATGAACATCCTATGTGGTGTAACCTAGAAAGGGTTACTGAATGAGGAATAACCAAAACGGAGTTTGGAAATGTAATGGTAATCTTTATAGCAACAAAATAAAATACTCGCCAGCGGCGTGGAATAGATAAACAACGACTAATGTTGGGCTACTTAGCATATTACCCCCACTTAATGCCCAACGTATTTATGAGGATTGGGACGTATCCATAGGTATGGTATATAACACTTGCTAACTTAACTAAATTACTTTACTTTCTTAAATAATTAATTACTTAACTTTACCTTACCTTACTGACTGTTTATTGTAATCTAGAAAGGGTTACTGAATGAGAAAAAATAAAAACGGATGTTGGAATTGAAATGGTAATAATTCTAACATCAACAAAATAAAATACACAAAAGCGGCGTGAAGTACGTAAACCACTGCTAGTGGTGGACTACTTAGAATATTACGTTATTTACTAGCCTCCCCACGAGGTAAGATGCGGAACAAAGCCAAATTTAATGTGGGGAAATCCGAGCTCATCGGCTCGGGCAAAAATTGCTCGTAGAGCCCGCATACTCCGTAGACTCCGGACGAGACTGCCCTTCGGCACAGCCTCACGGCAAGAGCAACGTACGTATGAGGTTTGGAATATACTCATTAGTTTTAATAGGTACAGTATTTAACAAATCCTAACAAATGACCGAAATTAAAACTTTTTTTATATTTCTATTTTCAGAATACATTTTTGGTCCGGCTGATAATATTTTTCTTCCCTAATGCAAACATTATATTTAATATATTTATAGAAATTTGCATTGCATCATATTTTATTTATGTAAATAATATTCATTACGGAATTATGTTTAGTGTCCAGGAAATTCATTATAAAGGATGTTCCAAAATGTAAATTAAGTTTAAGAGTCTAATGATTTTTTTTCTTTCAGATTTAACAACTTACGTTTTGGATAATTTCAACCACAGAAAGATTAACAATCAAACAACGTGCTAAAGTTGTCGAAGCCTATTACGAAAATTGACGTTCAAACAGAAATGCATTTCGCGCAATTCGCGATTTTGGTCAAAATAATCGAGCAACCGAGAGTGCAATTGGAAAAAAAAAATTGTTCGTAAATTCAAACAAACTGGGTCGGTAGCAGATGTGAAAACACCATCGAATGCTCATTTACGGTATTTAGCTGAAAGTATTGCTGCAGTGCACGAGAATGTGGCCAAAAATTCAGACACCTCTATTTGTCATCGCGCGCAGGAACTGAACCTGGTTACATCGAATTTTGGCAAGAGATTTGTCTCTACGGGCTTACAAACTTCAATTGTCACAAGAACTGAAACCCGCTGACCATTTGGAGCACCGTTTATTCGTCAATTGGGTGCACGAGCAAAGTCTAGCCGATGAAGCAAAAAAATCCTCTTTAGCGATGAAGCCCATTTTCATCTTGGTGGATTCGTTAATAAGCAGAATTGTAGTATTTGGGCTGATGAAAATTCAAGGAAGATTGTTGAAAAGCTATTGCATTCACAAAAGTTCAGTTGGGTGTGCATTTTTTGCTAGCGGAATCATTGGACCGTATATTTTTAAATTTGAATGTTTATTTTCGTAATAGGCTTCGATAACTTCATCTTTAACCACTTTCATTTTCATTTATATTCCATTGGTGAGATGCAAATTCCATTCCAGTAGATACTTCCCAATAACTGATACATTGTGAAACCGCCTTCCAACAATATTTTTCTCCGATCACTAAAATATTAACCTGGTCAAGACTAGGATTAACAGTTATCTTCCCCATATAACGGGAAAAAAAAACTGTTCAACTCTATCTCGAGTGACTCTTGAGGCTTTTAAAGTGGTGAACAACACTGTAAAAATAAACGACAAAATATCAATAGTAGCCTATATATCTGTCATCCTATTTCATTCTGTCCAAATCTTTCTATATCCACCATTTTTTGTCCGTTCAAACATATCTATCTATAGAGGATGTGACCCTGGTGAGGAATAAATAGATAATATAGAGTAAAATAATATAGAGTAAAACAAATGTGTGCAATCGAAATGCTGTATTTATATGCAAATATCCACATTAAACAGCTGTTGGTACAGCTGGAAGCTAAACAATTCATAACCTTGAATAGAATGTTGTAAACTATAATTAGTTAAATGTATTTACTACAATTCATCTAGTAGTTTCCTTTTCAAGATTATCATTTTTTTAGCCACCAGTTGTATCAACTACTATTTAAGACTGATATTTAAATCTTTTATATAGCATTAAAAATTGCACATATGATTAACTAAGAGAGAACTTTGAAGCGACTTCATACCCGGATCAAATGGCTCTTGATTCAAAGTTTGACCACCATGGCATTGCTATTAAGATGGGTTTTCCTGATATTGCTATCATCATTCACAATGCCGAAAACCGTCGCAAATAACGTGAACTCTGCCAGGTTAGTACAGGTCCACCTATATTTTCCTGATCACGCAGTCACTTCAGAGAAGTTGGCTACACCCGATTCTCTGTAGTTGCTGGCTAGTGCTGCAAGAATGGCACGCTTTTTCATAACTATTGAATTGGAAGCCTGCATGTTAATGCTCTCGGTTTTAGAAGTGTATTTTGCATGGTAGGGTTTGGAACATACCACAGCTTTATTAGGTTATTTATCATTTTTAATCTGCCGGACTCGAGTTCTTTTATACCTGACACTCTTCTCTTCATATACATACGCGAGGGCACACACGCATATATATATATATATATATATATATATATATATATATATATAATATAAATCCAGAATACAAAGAAACAAAACATGCATAAGTCACCAAAGATAAAGAAAATATTCATAAATCTACGTTAGCAACATAATTAGTGCTCGGCAGGCTAAACAAAATTTTCAAAATAGAAAACTAATAATCAAAAAGCGAGAATTTAATATAAAAAAAAACGCAAAAGAGACACAGATTTCAGCATTATATCTGATTTCACGCGATGAGGTGATCCTCAGACGGTTTTGTGAATGAGGACAAGAAAATAACTTAGTAAATAACTTAAATATGATCACGTCGTCGTCACGTGGGCGATGTTGTGACAACGTATTCGAAGGTGATTTCAAAATATTAAAACATTTATAACATGGAATACTTCAAGCTTGTACGAAAATATAAGAATCTATTGATCTCCGCCTATTCCTGTGAGTAAGGAAAGGATTTCTTAACGAACTATTTATATGAGAAAATTGTTCCATCGTGCCTATCTAATATTTTGAAATCATTTTTGATTTACTTTATAACATGGAAGACTTCAAGCTTGTATGAAAATATAAGAACCTATTGATCTCTTCGTATTCCTATATCAACGGAAAGGATTTCTTAACGAACTGTTTATATGAGAAAATAGTTCAATCGAGCTTGTTTAATATTTTAATATTTTGAAATCACCTTCGAATACGTTTTCACAACATCGCCCACGTGATCATATTTAAACGGAACTGTTTAAATATGATCTGTTTGAATTAGTTGTGCTCTTATGTCCATCGTCTTTTTCGTGTTGAATTTTATATGTTCTAATGTTAATTATGTTTTATGAATATGTCCTGATGATGGTCTAAAATAGACCGAAACGTCCGACGTTGACTTTATATTAACATTAATACAGCATAATTGCATATTAAGATTTTTGTTTGTTTTTCTGTACATTTTCTTCATACTGTCGGATGTATATCCATATATTTGTTTATATATATATATGTAAGTTAACATATATATGGGTAGAAACATTTGATTTGTGCAGGTTTCTTTGAAAAAAAGATTATTTTTATACGCTGTGGATCGTTTTCCTGGTTTCAAGAGAGAATTAAGTTGTTCATTGTCTTCACGCGTTGATGTATGTGTATATATATATATATATATATATATATATATATATATATATATATATTCAATGCATGAGACCGAAACTACATAACAGTTCTACATAATGATCATTTAAAGCTCATAGAGTTTCCTTTATTTTATTATTTGTACAGAGAGTTTTTCAAAAGCATTCATGTAAAATCGCTTCTGCTTCCTCCCAGCATACATCATCTTAGATAATGTTTTATGTTGCAAAACGATACAGAAACTAGAGTCGTCCTAACATTTATGTAGAATATTGAAAAGCTTTCATCTCCGAACCTTAGACAATTCCAGAACATCGAGGTTAATATCATCAGAAACTTTGAGCAAAAAAATAAATAAAAAATGTTGATCGCAAAAATATTTAAATAGTAAAAACAAAAATTCCTTAAGTGCGGTAATATATATATATATATATATATATATATATATATATATATTTCATGTTAGGAGTATGTACCTACTTTGCCATCAATTTTAAAGACAATTTAACCCTCTTGAATATTCTGACATCTCTTGACATTTTTAACCTAAAGTGCTCTCCTGTCAGAGGACCTTTTAAATGTCACGAATCGGATAAAGATTGAAAGAGATTATCTTTGATGCACACTATGGGCGTGAGATTTGCCGTCTTTTTAACCTCGTTTAAGCTTAATTAGTATCTGTCTCTATCTATTTCTTCAGTTGTGCGTTTCTATCCGTCCAATAACAGAATCTATCTTTCTATATTCATATCTAACATATTACTTAACTATCTATTTCCTTTTCTGGGCATAAATCTATAAAAACTGTGCAAATGTTCTAAATATCAGAGCTTTTTCGATTATTCTATCAACCATTATCTAGGATTTTAAACTTAGTATGTAAATATAGGGATGGGAATGATTTTCCCAAACACGGCCAGCACGTTGTGGCCGTGATTATAACTGATATTATCGAGTGCCTCCCACCAAAAAAAAAAAAAAAAACCCTCAATAATATCAACTATGAACACGTTTTATTTTCCAAAACCGCTGGCTTTGTTTGGAAAAATAAAACACACACACATATATATATAAATAATCGGTGATAATGTGAGATAGAGTAGTAGTAAGTGCTCGAATATATAGAACATTTGGACAGTTTTTATACACCTTATGTCCAGAAAAGAAAATACTTGTATGAATGAAAGAAAATTGAATAAAAGGCTTAATTGCATTACTTTGTCAGTGGCCTTCAATAATTTTTTTATAAAAAGATGGATCGCTGCCATATATATATATATATATATATATATATATATATATATATATGTTAATACCCATCATTTTTCCATTCATGTTCATATCTAGCTTCTTTCTTCATATGTCTTTTTATATCTTCTATTTATCAAACATTTGCTTTTCAGTATGTACATAACTATCGATATAGACATTCATTTAGATTTATCTGCATATATCTATCTCAATTTCTTTTTATGTATATAAGAAAAAAAATCTACGTTAGATATCAATTGCGCTAACTTCGATTTTTCTTCCAACTGATGCAAAAAAAGAAAAAAAATGTCTTCATTAAACCGGAAGAATTATTTCCGATGGAACAAATAATCTTCAGCTTATTTGAGCTTTCAATCCCATATTTCTGCCCACAACAAGACCACGCCTCTTAGAAAACACCCCCACCCACGTGCAACTCGGCACTGGAGGGTCACCATCGACTTCCGCACGAACGTGAGCTTACCTATTCAAGTAGATAACATTCTCAGATATGTTAGCTTGTTTTTAACCAAAGATGTGTATTTGAATAGTCGCCGGAGAATTTTACGTCACTGCCGAGAGCGATATCCGGACTTTAGAATATGTTCCAGTCTTCAGTCCGTTACGAACATATAGACAATTGGGAAGAAGACTATAAAGCCGAAAGCTCTATATGAGAGAGACGCTCTGCAGGAATCATAAATAACATATTTACTCTGTAGTTTAAAATTTCACTTCGATCAGTCAATCCTCGTGATGTAAATGACTTTTTTTTCAGTCAGTGTCTGACGATAGAAACTACCGTTCTTTTAGTGCGTTAATTCTTTATTTATCCTTCACTATAAAGCAAGGGTCAACTGGTCAGCTTCACAAATGAATTAACAGATTTCTTTTTGTTTAAAATTACATTTGATATAATTGACAAGTAGAGCGAATGACGCCTTAAAGATGATTGCACAATTCGTAATGAATTCCCATTATCTTTTTGGAGGCTTTAGATTTTTTTTAAACCGAGTTTTTTGTCTTTTTCTTTTAGCATATATTAGGCTGTCTCTTCTTCCGTAATTTCTGTTTTGGGAAAGCAAATGTAATGACGGATGTAACATCTTCAATATGCGGTGCCTTAATAAACATAGTATCGGCAGTAACCCTGTGGGTATAAAAACAAGTGAACCCTCCCCTCTTCCCGTTTTCATGCTTTCGAAGCGGGTGCCATGAACTTTTCATACTGAAACAAAAATGCCTGTAAACGCTTTTCTTTCAAACACACCTAAACCGGCATGTCACACCCAAATACATTCATTAAATATTTTCCTTGTTTATGTAATTTATTCACGGAAAAGAAACTCTTGAACTTTCCTTTAGTTGCTTTGTTTAATAAATATTAGCTTGCATTGTAAATCAACCGGTCTATTATTTTGAGCACGTACCTTTCGCCACCGTTATTTCATGTATATATTATCGTAAGAAACCTTATGCATTAATTATAGAAGTAGCCAACACACTAAAATATATATAAAACATGACAGGTTCTTGTTCGTGGACACGATGCATTGTTGTTGCTGCTGAAATTATTCATGTTTTTTTTTATTTGTTAAAGCTCCCTATTTGAGATTTTGTGGCGCCAGTATATAAGGTATGATAAATGATCAGGTACTTTAGGATTTACATATATCGCATCTAAAAACGAACGAGTTAATTTAAAATTCAGCTGAAAGACATGATTACTGAATCTAACCTTAAACTCTAATGTTCGTCCAACAAAGAATCGAGTACCCCTCTGTTCACAGAAATCGTTTGTAGCACAGGAAGCTGTAAGCGTTTAATTCATTGATTACTTCTGTTGGTCTGATTCTGCGACAGGTTACCCCTTGATGGGTTAGTTAATGGTTATTTTTTATGGCGCACCCAGTGAGGATCGAACGCACCACTCAGTGGTAATAGGTGTATCAAGGTGAGACTCATTACGTTGGTTTATTTTATTTCAATCTTTGCCGGGTTATTCAATGTCGATATTTTTACTGAATCAGCGAGTGAGAACTGGCAAAACTATTCAATAAGAATAACTTATCAGACTAGCTGCGTTAAACACTATCTCACACCAAGATTTCCTTAGTAAATTAATTTACTTCTTTAAATGCAAATTGATTGCACAGTTCCCAATATATCACTGTTCTTCCCAGTCAAGCCTTCTAGGAAAATGTGTTCCTTTCATTTACATTTCTTCTTATTCGGGCTTACGGTCATATCACGTTGAAATACCGGTTCTCTTGCGATCACCGAAGTTAAGCAACGTCGACCCTGGTCAATATTTGGGAATGCATGTGCTATAAACTTGGATGTAGGGGTAATATAATGGATAAAGGCACGTTTTGAGACGGTGGAAAGCAGCATTTTAATTCCAGTCGTATTCGTTCGCTTACGCTCAAATATCCCTAGCAAAGGGTATGAATCCATATATATTGCCTGCATCTTTAGATAAAATAGTAAGAATTGTATCTGGAAATTATCTGCAAGTAATTACTAAAATAAATATTCTTTCGGAAAAAATTAATACAATACCAAAATGTTTCGGCTTTACATAATCTGGAAAAAGGTTGATAAGCCGTAAAAACAAGTCAACCTTGTTTTTTCTCCTATTTTCTTTATATATATATATATATATATATATATATATATATATATATATATATATATATATATATTTGTAATGTTTGTTTTATTTTAAACGTTAATTTAACTTTTGTGAATGGTGTATATTAATCATAAACCTTTGATTTATCAAAGTAAGTTCAAGGGGTTGTTAGATTTATGGCAGATTATTTTGGCTTTCATATATTTTATTGAAAAACAATCTATTAATATAAAAAAAACGATTTCGGTCAAATGGATTTTACATATTTTCTATCTGTTTTTGTTGGTTGGCTGCTGTTGTTTAGCGGCATATCAACCCGTATGAATTAGTTCATGCCGAAATCTAAATATGAAAATTCACACATTATAATTCAAGGGAATTACATTATTTCATGATTAAATTATAATTAATTACGTGCATCATTTTTTTAACCAAATAATCTTACAAAATCAAATTTGTCTTTATAAGTATCTAACAGGCTTCGCCAGCTCGCTATCGCTTCGAAAAGTAAGATATATTCACTACTTTGAAACAATAATTTTAAATGAACATTTCCTTCATAAATTGGCTTGTTAAAGTTAAGGAAAATTTTACAGATAGATGCCAACTTGTGGAAGGCCAAGTAATAAGAGGATATTCCTAAACAGAACTATTTCTGATATGAAAATCAAAACAATACTCGAATAAAAAGACAGTTAATTAATGAAATAAACTGGAAAGAGTGATATTACCTCGAAGTAGACAATATATAATACATATAATGAGCTTTTAGTGTTGTAAATTACTGTGACGAGTAGTTTGTAATACATTATTTATCATCCGTCAGTTGCGTCTCTGTCTATGGGCTGATGGCGCTTTGGGGCAGCTCTGTCAAAGGACAGAGTCGCAAAGGAGGAAAATTATACGGAGAGGTGCCCAGCGAGGGGGAACAGCTGTTTGAGACCGCGTATTCTCATTGCATCAGAGAGAGTGATCGGTGCTCACACTGAGGACAGCGCAACCGACGGTTGCGAGGGATGCGGTCAATTTTTGTTCCTAGCCCGGGTGTACGCGCTCGAGCTCTCCACATTAAACCGACATTGTGTCACAACCTATGTTTGGGGTTGAGTAAATGTCAGATTACCATAAAGTAGAGCTGGAGCTTTTTAATCTCAGAATTAATGGGAGAATTGAGCTCCAATTTCGCATTTATTCATATAGATTCCATAATATAGGGTTTACTTAATTAGCTATTATGTTTCTCTAACTCTTCAAATTTTGAATGTATAGCTAATTCTAATTTTCCCATCTTTACACTATATTAATTTTATCTTATAAATTGTCTCCTTCTATCACCCATGAAATAAAAATAATTGTTTGTACGGAAAATAAAGATATACGTACATCAAATTGTATTTAAATTAAGTGGCAGCAGAAAAATTATCGTTGAACCTTTAAAAGATAAGCTTAAAAATGTATTCAATACTTAAATGCAGCGATCAGTTTTGATTTCTTCTGTATTTTGTTGATGCTTATCTCATCTACTCCTCCCTAGCTATTGTGATGATAGCCAAACCAAGAGTCCTCCACAAGAGCTAGCTTAAATACCAACCGATAGGGCGGCTCTTAAGCTTTTTTATATATAATCAAACAGGCACTGAAATATTGAATACAAAAGAAAAGAGTTACTCTTCCTGAACAAATGAAAGCAAGGCTAATGGGTAGTGTAATATATTAATATATATTTTTAACCTCGCATAATCTGGCAACCCTGAATCTGAGCTCAACGAAAATCGTTCCCTGCGCCTAACTTTTCTAGGGCTTTTGAATGAGCTACGAAGAATTGAAATCGGGCCAGTGGCAGCGGAGTAGTTGCTTGGAAAAACTTACTGTACGTTATATATAAGATAAGATTAATAATAGCAAAATTTTCTATTTTTTGAGAGTTATATGCCGGGTTTTCAATTTTATTATAAAACTAGACTACCCGTGACCCGTTATAAAACACTGAAGTTGATTTTATCTTGAAAAAAAGTTGTCTGCTTGAAGAAAGTTGAAATAATACTTATTCTATAAACAACTTGTATTTTAAATCTAATTCAGCTAAAATAGATTTTAAATCAGATAAACATAAAAGTATATTTTAATTTGTCAAAAATATTTTTAAAATCATATTCACTTGAAAATATTTTTAAATCTGGTAAAAAATATTTTTGTAAATATTTAAAATAGTTTTTGTATAAAGAAAGCTGAAATATAAATAAGCATGCACGCAATGAAAGAGGTGGAAAGAGAGAGAGACAAGACGTGGAAAGAGAGACGAGAGAGAGAGACAAGACGTGGAGAGAGAGAGAGACAAGACGTGGAGAGAGAGAGAGAGAGACAAGACGTGGAGAGAGAGAGAGAGACAAGACGTGGAGAGAGAGAGAGAGACAAGACGTGGAGAGAGAGAGAGAGACAAGACGTGGAGAGAGAGAGAGACAAGACGTGGAGAGAGAGAGAGACAAGACGTGGAGAGAGAGAGAGAGACAAGACGTGGAGAGAGAGAGAGACAAGACGTGGAGACAAGAGAGAGAGAGACAAGACGTGAGAGAGAGAGAGAGAGAGACAAGACGGGAGAGAGAGAGAGAGAGAGAGAGACAAGACGTGGAGAGAGAGAGAGAGAGAGACAAGACGTGGAGAGAGAGAGAGAGAGAGACAAGACGTGGAGAGAGAGAGAGAGACAAATTGTTGTTAATTCTAATATAAAATATATTGTTCGTAATTTTACTTTAAAATCTATTGTTTCTATTTTTATTATAAAAATATATTCTTATACTTTTCGAGTCTTTTGATTTCTGTTTGGGGTTTTGCTATTTGCCCATGGCTAGGACCCTAACAAATGCTACTACTCTCCTCAAAACCTCCAATTTGCCGATTCTATGATCGGATACTTAATACCGGATGTAGTATATCGTCGTACCCAGGATTACATCTTTTTTGGTTCTTTATGTTAATATGGTAGTTTTTTTTAATTGTAGATTGATAGCTGCTAGTTACACTTTTCCGATGCTTCTTATTTTTCTGCTAGAACTAATCCTATTTGTTGAGCCAATTATTTTAATTTAGCGCCATTTTTTCTTCTTTACTTTTTTCCCCCACTATCGTTGGCCTGTCAGAACTGCTGCTTCTTCGCCATGTTTTCTATGGTGCGTCACAGCTATAATCTGTTGAGCGCTCCCCGTATCGCGAGAGATAAACGAACTCAAAGACTTGGGGTGAAGAAATTTACACACCGACTACTCTACCAAAACTGACAGCCTTCTACTGATGTCTTCGCAAAGCATGTTCGATTCTCGTTTGGTAGTGCAGTCGATTGGTTGTGTTCTATGTGTGCGAAAATTGTAAGTAAGATTCTCTCGCAAGCGAACACTCCTTGATTTTGGAACTAAGAAGCTAGAGACGCAATAAAATATATTCTTTTCTAGTGAATCCTGTTTGACATCCTAAGAATAATGAAGACATAAGTGGGAAGATAGACATCAAAGGAAATACGTAGTGGAGATGGAAAGAAGTCAGAGGAAACTGAAGAGAGAAAATGGAAGACGAAGGAACACTAGCAAAACGAGATGAGAGGGGAAGAGTAAAAACAACGCAGCGAGAAGGAAGAGGAGAAATATGACGGAGCGAGTGATAGAAAGAGAAAGAAAGTAGAGATGGGATACAAAGAGAAAGAAAGTAGAGATGGGATACAAAGAGAAAGAAAGTAGAGATGGGATACAAAGAGAAAGAAAGTAGAGATGGGATACAAAGAGAAAGAAAGTAGAGATGGGATACAAAGAGAAAGACACAGGGGGATACAAAAGAGAAAGACACAGGGGATACAAAGAGAAAACACGGGGGATACAAAAAGAGAAAGACACAGGGGGATACAAAGAGAAAGACACGGGGGATACAAAGAGAAAGACACAGGGGATACAAAAGAGAAAGACACAGGGGATACAAAGAGAAAGACACGGGGGATACAAAAGAGAAAGACACAGGGGATACAAAGAGAAAGACACAGGGGATACAAAGAGAAAGACACAGGGGATACAAAGAGAAAGACACGGGGGGGATACAAAGAGAAAGACACGGGGATACAAAAGAGAAAGACACGGGGGATACAAAGAGAAAGACACGGGGGGATACAAAAGAAAGACACGGGGGATACAAAGAGAAAGACACAGGGGATACAAAGAGAAAGACATGGGGGATACAAAGAGAAAGAATGGGGGATACAGGGGGACACAGGGGATACAAAGAGAAAGACACGGGGGATACAAAGAGAAAGACACGGGGGATACAAAGAGAAAGACACGGGGGATACAAAGAGAAAGACACGGGGGATACAAAGAGAAAGACACGGGGGATACAAAGAGAAAGACACGGGGGATACAAAGAGAAAGACACGGGGGATACAAAGAGAAAGACACGGGGGATACAAAGAGAAAGACACGGGGGATACAAAGAGAAAGACACGGGGGATACAAAGAGAAAGACACGGGGGGATACAAAAGAAAGACACAGGGGGATACAAAAGAGAAAGACACGGGGGATACAAAGAGAAAGACACGGGGGATACAAAGAGAAAGTGGGGGATACAAAGAGATAGACACAGGGGGATACAAAGAGATAGACACAGGGGATACAAAGAGAAAGACACGGGGGATACAAAGAGAAAGACACGGGGGATACAAAGAGAAAGACAGTGAGTGTGGTAGGGATAGAAAAAGAAAAAATAATAAGTGAGAAACGTATTTTAAGAGATTGTGGGAAATAGAAAGAAAGTGTAATATAAAGTAAGCGAGAGATGAGAAAAAGAAAGAATAGTATGCGAGAGAAAAGAAAAAGAGAATTGATTGAGAGAAAGAAACAGAAGATAGAATGAGAGAGAGAGAGAAAGATACATTGATGCTGATAAAATGGAGAGGAGTAGAGAAACTTATATATAGAGTGAGCCAGACACTGACACTTGAATGTATTTTTTGCGGAATATATACAAAGATCCTAATGACACATAGGGAAGAGTGAGCCGCATGTCACCGGAAAAAGATGATTTGATCATCACAATGATTGGTACAAGAACAAATCAGAATATTCTAAGAGTTAAATTCATGCAGATCATGTAACTGAGGTTAGAAGACCTGTTGTATTTATATTAAAGAAAGGGAAGAGAATTCGACAGATAATGAAGGTCATTGTTTTAGGAGAAACGTAGTGAAACTGAACAAAACTGAGAAACTTAAAATATATGTAGATCTTAGCAACGGACTAGAAAGTATTGTGGAACTTTATAATAACAGGTGTACGCATTGTTATTCGTGCTAAGAGGGGAAAAATTGAAAATCTGCAGGAGAACTGAAAACATCTAGACTGCAGGGCTTTAATAAAGCCAACTAGAGAACTAAGACATTTTGTCACTCGATTTTCAATAACAACCACCACGTACATCTCTGCGGGAGATTATGACAAATAAACAACAATAAAAATAATAATGATAAATTTTTTATTGTTGTTCAAGCAATATAAGGCCTAAATGTCACTCAATCTAGAGGATTACTAAATACGGATGCTGTAAGAGCGTATAGAGTAGGAACAAAAGATTCATATTATGTAGGATAAATAACTGTTTACCCATGACATGAAGATTTTAATGGTCAAGGAAGCATCCATTTCGGAGTCTGTTCCACATTGTAAGAGTTCTGTTTGAGGGGAAATTGTTCCTTACGAATGGAAAATGAAGTGGAAGAGGATGAGTCGACTGTGGATATAGCCTGGTGGACACTAGGTTGTAACTTACTGGACTGGTAGAACCAAGGAATTTATTACACCAGAACATCTATTAAATAGAGATTGAGTAGCAAGAAGCTAGCAATGTTTCTTCAACGTAACTCAAAGACTTTTGAACTCGATCAAGGCTGAAAAGTGAGGATTTGGGAGCTTTGGCTCAAATGTAGCAGCAATTATTTGTGGTCTGAGCTGGATAATGCAGCGATAAAAATGTGCCAGGTGAAGCCATGTGTAGTACCTCTCTATCGCACTAGAAACATTAATAAACCAGATATACTAATAAAATACCGTTTTATCAACCAGTGTGATAAAACTATTTCAGTATCTGTCTAGGACATCTGGCACAGTGGATAAAGCCGTTGGTTTGATCCAGTGACAGGAACCAAACAGTGTGAGTTCAATAAACGGTTAAGGTAGTGGAGAACTTGGAGAGGGAAATTAACGGGAGATAACTGGTAACTGACATCCATTAGACATGGCACGTGGAACTAGAACAGTACACCCCAGCAAGTTAAATAAAGGGTTCAGTTTCACATTCCGACCAACTGAAAAAGGCCGGAGCGTACAACGGCCGAAACGTTGTGATAAAGATTGGAATACTAAGTGCTACTTTCTAATGATAAATTGCTATACCGGAACATACCTATTCTATTGTTAATAGACTCTCCCACAGATAAGTAGTAGTAGTAGTAGAAGTAGTAGCAGTCGCCAGTTGGGCTCAGTGAGTTGGTGAGTCAGTCGATGTCAGACATTAAAGTATCAACCACCACAACTAGATTGCTGCGTCATTAACTATTATTTGAAGTTCCTAATGTTTTGTAAGTCGAACCCTTTTAGGACCGACTTAGTGAAATACAAGCCTCCACTGTGAAAACTACTCTACAACATGAATATAAATAACTAGCTTGGTCTTCAAGGCAGTCAATGTAACCAGCCATTTTTTGCCGCAATTGGAGTATGTGCAAGATCGGAAGACAGTTCAGTCGCTCCGACTATCGAGACTTGTAGAGATGTGCCCGTATATAGAACTTTCATCGACATAAATGTTTACAACAGATCTGAGTATCTTCTTCGGCCGATAATTTATGCAGATCATAAAGAAATTTGGTCCACAGGGGAGGGACGAATGCGTTGATCGCTAGGGTTCTGGATAACTGGCGATTGATAACTACCTTGAGAGATCTCCCTTTTAAGGAAGGATTTCATAATCGAGAAGGCCCTTCCAGGGATTCTATAAATGGATACCTGTTGTAGTAAGCCTTTGTGCTACACTTTGTCGAAGACCTTAATTTATCTAGTTCTATAGTCCTCGAGGTGCGTTTGTCGTCAAGAGCCTATCTAATTTTTGTGAGTGATGGTTGTTAGAATGTCGGCAATAGGTCAGAACGATTGAAACCCATACTGCTCGTTGCTAAATAGTGAGATTTCTAGGTGCTCGACGATCTTTGTATTGATCATGGCCTCAAAGAGATTGCTGATGATCCTGAGGAGACTGATGCGTCTTTACTGAGAGGAGGGGAAGATCGCACGCCAGCGTTTTCAAAAACTGGGCATACGCTTGACAGCTTCCACTGGCTTGGAAAGGATTTCACCTTCAAGCAGCGGTCGAATAACTTTGTTAGGATTCGGCATAATTCCGCGTTGATGTTCTTAAGGACAAGTAACGGAATTTTTCCAAGCCCAGTAGTTTTCTTAAGATCAAGGCCTTTGATAAGTCAAGTGGCCTCGCGTACTGTGATGGAATTATTACTGAGATTGTGCTCAGTGAGACGTGGGAGCTTGAGGAAGGGATGATCTTTGTCCTCTAACACTGAGTTACAGACAAAGAGGTTTACTTTATTAGTCGAGGAAGATATCAACCCTGGACCATTTATTATTGTGGGCACAGCCGTTTGATTTTTGTTCATGACTTGGTGATCTTCCAGGATTCACTGGATAGAATTTGTTTCTTTTCAACACTGGTTCGGAGCTGCATTTGCCGTTTCTAGAACTTTTTTTGAAGCAATTACAGTCAGTTCTGAATGCAGTCACTGCCGAACTACTTCGCTCCTTGCGATAGATATTGAAATGCTTGCAGTGATTTATGGTTGCAGCGCATTCGGGGTGAACCAGGGTTGACTGTTTTGTTTTTGATTTTTGCTGGAATTTCTTTTGGAATATAAGGAGTTTTTGAGTCAGTGTGGTTGAAAAAGGTCGGTAGGGGAGCTTCCATCATATAGGATCGAAAGCTGTCTTAGTTTGCCTTCACATAGCAAACAATTGTTCTATGGAATGGTATATCAGGGGATGCCTTAGGTTTGGTATCAATCTGAACACTGGTTAGAGAATGGTCTGACCTGCATTGTGGAGGTACAGCTTTTTCTAGGCATATATCAGGAAGGAAAATAGGAAGAGTTAGTTAAGGTTTACCTGATGTCCACTCGTGTCCGGGACACGGATAAGGATTAGTATTATGATCTGTGTTAATTCATAGGCGATGGAGAAGTTTCTGCGATATCTGCCTTCAATATCGCTTTAGTTGGAGTAGACGAGCCACAGCCGAAGACGGTAGAAAGCAAAGACGTATAAGGTACTATGGATACGTGCCACGCGGAAGCACATATAAAGGAGATCGGATTCCTCGTATTTTATGTCCCTGCCGCAGGGAAACTCGTCCATGATGCAGGCAGTGACGATTTAAGTGCCTATGTTTGGCTATGTGAGGTGAGTAGTCCGCGACTGAGAACTCTCCTAGTTGCGGATGAGACATTGATACCGGTTTCAGAAAGTAGAAGGAGGTATGTTTTAGATTGGAGAAGCTAGTGTTCCCCTACTGGAAAGATGGAACGTAAGCCCCTCACGCTGGTGTAGGAGATGGTATACCAGTAGTAGACTGTTTTTTTTTAGCATTGGGTTTGATAGTTTTGTCCATTTGTATTTTGATTAGTTTTCATGTGTGCAATGATTGGTGGAAGACTGGTATGAAGAGAGACAGACACACTAGCAGGAGTTGCATGTATAGAAAATCTGGAGTGAGTGTTTCAGAGATACAGCCTTAACAGTACCCTTCATCATGGCACAGAGAGGCCGCAACAAAGACTACTGCACTAAATGGTAGTACAGTAGTCCCGATATTATATACCTGATAGAATATAGCCTCTTTCAGAGTTACTCAAAGGCCCGGATTCCTGACTATCAAGCGGATGACGTATTTGGGGGAGGAAATAATAATTAGAAATAATGAGAATAATATGTGAGAAGCATAATATTTGTAATTCATTATTAGGAGTTGGAAATAATAATAATAATAATCGAGTTGGAAATAATAATAATAATAATCGAGTTGGAAATAATAATAATAATATTTAGAGTTGGAAATATTAATAATTATATTTAGAGTTGGAAATATTAATAATTATATTTAGTGTTGGAAATAATAATAATAGTAAATATATTTAGAGTTGGAAATAATAATAATAATTATTATTATATTTAGAGTGGGAATTAATAATAATTATACTAATATTTCGAATTGGAAATAATAATGATAATAATATTTAGAATTGGCGGGAAAAATCCAAGTAATATTAATGTTTGAAACAAAATTCAAATAAAGTTTGAAGATTCACGCATTTGTAATTGTTCCTTTCTTCAGTGAGTATAAAAACCAATAGCGTTAACATTAGATACGTGTTGTATTATTTCAGTATTAATATTCATTAAGAATTTCAATAGCTTTCAATTTTATTTTAATGAATTTACCGAATCAGCAACATCTGCTAACCTTGAGGTTGTTATAGTACCTGTCCTCTAAAAATAAATAAAAATTACTAAAGGGTCAGATTTCCTGATAAGTTTTCGACGCGAATTTTAGATTATTATTATTATTATTATTTGAAATTCTCTGCGACCCTGAGATGTTCCGACGTGGAGTTTATAGTTAAATCTTAGCTTCGACTCATCACTTAAGTATACAATATTTATTTTAGAAATAATTTAGAATGCGTGCCGTTTCAAGCAGCCTGCTATAGAGCACATCCAATGTTAAGTATCACCAAGGCATCTTCCTAGTCAAGATCCTTGTCCATTTACGCCAAATTCTCTTCGCCCTCCTAACCATATTTCCAGTATAGTTCCGAATGTATTTTGAGGGTTACATTTTCATGGCGGAGTCTGTACTCTTTTTGCACCAGCTGATTGCAATCACTAACAATGTATTGAACATTATCATTATCATCATTATTATTATTTCTTGATTTGATGTTTGAT